ACAGGGGGGAACACGACCGTGCCAGGGAAGCTGTCGGGGTTGATGTTATAGTTCAAAGTTTGCAACGTATTGACGTCTGCAGCGCGCAAACAATAGAGGGTATCCGAACTTGAGGTACAGCTGTGAGTTGAGAGTATTAGCTCGGAAATGGCCACATAAAACCTTTGCAAGGACTCACTTTGTTCCATCGACGACCTCACTGTACACCATCTGGTAGTGGCATTCAGGACGCACGGACGTTGACCGTAAAACAAAATTCACCTCCGGAATTCGGTCGTTATAGTTGTATTGTGATGGCAAGAACGCAGAACTCGTCATGGCAGCTCTGAAGAGGGGAGGCTGCGTGTTTCCTCCATGAGCAACAAGATGCTGTAGCACAGAACCGGCACCTGAAACGGCGAGAGTAGTAAACAAGACCTAATGATGATGGAGGTACCTAACTCAGCTCACCAGCAGATTGTCCCCAAATCGTTACCTTCGTTGGGTCCCCACCGAAACTACTTATCTATCCAAGTAATTTTCCTATCAGTTGAGGTACAACACGCAAGGAGATATTTCTGCTCACGTAGGCCTGAACCCACTGTAAAGCATAATTTTGGTCGACTTAGAATATCAGGTTCAGCCGAGTCTGAAGGATTGTCAGTCCATGATAATCACCTACGTAGTCCAGCATTGAGTGCACCCCCTTCTTTGACCGCTTTCCCAGGTAGGAAACCTAGTCGGGAGTGTACTTATAAGTTTGAAACCTCGAAGAAGTGGCGAAGACATACCGAATAAACCGAGGCGGTACTGCACCAAGACAGTAATGACACCATAATTCGATTCCATAGTTAGATCTGCGCCATTGTATAAACTCGCAGCTCCTGAAATACCTGTACGAAAATCGATTCATCGACAGACGAATATTGCATATGATACTTACCCTCCTCCGTGAATCCATACGACAACTGGGAGCCCTCCCGATGGTGTGGCCACCACTTCGCTTCCGGGAGTGTATACACTATCGGATGCAACTACCAATCGTAAATGTTAACATCATCGTTCATGGCAGGGCTTACTTCAAGAATAAACAGTCTTCCGACTGACTGACAGCCCTTTTCCTCGTAGAGGTGTTTTCATAAGGATTTGTCGAAGAATTGCCGATGGGCGCTTGATAACAGTTATTTGTGTTGGTGGTAGCTTGTTGAACCCCAGCGATGGTCGATGGAGGCTGCGGAGCTGCCCATCTGAAGTCGCCTATATATCTAGTGCGTAAACTGATATTGTATACAACAAACGAAGGTGGACGCACCGACTGGAGGAGCCGCGTACCGTATTCCGAGAAAGCTGGTGATGTTTGTCGCTGTATCTACCGACCCTGGTACCGAGCATAACCTAAGTCGATGATGGGTGCAGACTCGGTGGTCGCCGGAGAAGATAATGCTTCTAGTGCAAGCAAAGCCTGTGACAAGGCCAACAGATTAGCTTTAATCAACATTTTAAATCTCATATGTGTGCAGTGAGAGTCAGCTATGCATGTTTATAACCCCTGCGAAGCAGGCACGATCGGGTTCGGCTCAGAGACGACACTACGGTCATCAGAGAACTCGTGAGTCTACCCAGGTTACGTTGATTACGGTATTTTACATGACCTTATATGACTTTATATTCCAATATGAAGGAAAGAAGCTCAATATATGACGATATATCGTCATATAAGACATTATCTGCGGCTCATCAGTTCACTGATGCACTTAGCCACATGAAACGTTTGATTTGAGGGTCACGAACGAGATGTGGCATGAGCTGGCACGGATATGATTGGTTCGCTCACAGTTTGGATCCCAGGAAATTATGCTGAACAAAAATTCATATCAAGACGCTAGATGAGATGACGAAGGGTCGGGAAATGAACGGCAAAGGATGGTTAAGACAGACGGACGGTCACGGACCTCGCCGTCACTAGGAGTGACGTTCCACTGTAATTTAAGTCTCACGGCCTTCGAATCAAGGACTGACCTTAGATGAATCCCTAGTCTCGATGTTATGGATCGGGGTTTGAAAAATGAGGGCTGAGTGAGAGAATTTACAGCGCTTGATCACAACATCTGTGTCGTCCAATGCCGCCGCACACCGTTTCAGATGATTTGAAAGCTTGAATCCCTGTTCTACGTCGACATGGGTACTCCATCAAGCATATCTGCCATCTACTTGGAGTCAAAAAGACTCTGTATACAAAGTTTTACGGCTCTTTCCCTCACAGCACATTCACAGCAAGAATAAGGCCAGCGTCACACCATGAATGACACAAAGATCACTCGCCCCTGAGAATTGCTAAGGTAGTACTTGAAACTATATTTCTTCCTCTCAGTGACCCTATAGTGTGATTTGTCGTGTTTCGCGAGAATTGAAGTCAAAAATTCAATGTAGTTGGGCTTGGTCTGGATAAGTTCCTTGACTTTTGTGGATTTCACTTCCTTGGCTTTTGCTTTGCCATTACTTTCAGTAGTAATCTTGGTGTATGTATCCAGGTGAATAATGAATGTAGCCTTGAATTCAGGTATCTCTGGGGAATCTGATAGGGACGACATCGTCTTTCAGCGAGCCACAGATGTACACTATAGCGCTACTACCTCAGGTGCTTACGGGGTCCTTGTCTGGGCGTTTCCAATGCACAAGTGTAAGTTGGTCTGACTGCCGCACGCGCATAACCGTTACACCAAAAGGTAGAATACTGAAAGCTTAGCTTTCAGTATCAGCGACAGTATATATACTGAGTATGGGAACTCAGGTAAGCCAGCGTGCTTACAACAAGTTTTGATTTGCGATTCTGCACAGTTACGCAATCAGCTGTAAAAGAAATACACATACAGCTACAATATTTCTAGGGTCCTGACTCCGTCCATCATGTTGAGAACGGAAGTCGCGTCAATGACCTGAGCAATGAGTCACGATCCGACGCGATTCTAATTTCTCTTGTATTCTCCGCCGCGCTGGCAAAATGCGCTGAACTGTTGTCCAAGGTGAACAATCAATCCCGATCCTCGCGAGAAAGATTTCGAATCAACCAGCTCCTGTTCTCCACGAGAACCGCCGGGAAACTCGTCTGACGGAGTCCCGCACGGACCAAAAATCATCCTCGCTTGGCCTATCGTCTCCAGAGTCAGGCAGATCTGCAAAATCAGGTAGCTCAAGGAGGCGACGATCCCATGGACGGACAAGTAAGAAATTCTGCAGAGGGGGCCTTGCAGGCGTGAACTGAATCAGTGTCTCTTTTGTGGTGACCAGCAGGTCGCGAAGCCCGTCTGCCTTGACTCTATACGTGAAATAAGCCTCGAGGGGTGGGCCACTATTCCGCATGACTTCCGTGACACGGAATGTGATGCAAGGCAGATGCAGTCTGCAGTTCGCGAAGCGAGGAGAGCTCATATTGTCAAGTTGGTCATACAATTTCGAAGCCAGTCCCACAGCCACAATATTTTGTAGTGAGGAGACCACTGTCTGAATCTCATCTTCAGACAAAGATGGGAGGGCGCATGACGGAGCTACACATGAGGAAATTTCGGCTGGAAGACAACTATTGAAACAGGATGGTTGTCCAACCCAGTCGAGGGCAGCAATGTCGCCCGACTGAGCCACGATCTCTTGCAAGGGCTCCCTGAGCGCACGTTGCTTATTCTCGCCATAAGGATGGGTAGTTGGACGCCAAAGGTGCCAAACAAAGAGTACGCGATGTCCTCCGGCACAGTGGTGACACGAGTAGACGCCCATTGGAGTTTCTCTCGGGCGTGTCTCATCCCTGGTTGGAAGGCGATGAGGGCGCGTACATCTATCCCCGTTGCATCCTGCAACTGCATGATCGTGTTAGACTCCTTGTGGTTGAAGGAGTCGTTATTGAGATATAGTGTCCAATCCTGTTGGTAGAAAACAAATGACTTTGGGAGCCAGGGAATTCCGGGACGGTCCATCCTCGGGTGTTCAAGCACTCTGTGCTAGTGCGCCAGGCTTGGACAAAGGCGGAATATCCGACAGGTAAGACAATTATGAGCGCAGAAATTATGATACCGAGGCAAACACGGAGTTAAGCAATTTTGAGCTCGACATTGTTATGCTGGTCGATGCAACACGAATCAACCCACGCCCAGTGATACTCCGTCTTACGACGAACAATGTCGCAGAATGATGATAGCAAGATCATTGAGGGTCGCGACTCTCTCAGGATGACCGAGGGGGACGGAGGAGTAGTACAGCCCGATGGAGCCCAATGACCTCATCAAGGTCAGATTGGTTGCCTCACTTTTGGAAGCTCTCGTGAATTAGGATGGCAAGATCGTTAAGAGTCGGGATTCTCTCAGGATGACCGGGGCGACGGAGTAATGGTACAGATCGATGGAGCCCGATGGCTTCATCAAGGTCAGACAAGACGCTCCGTTGCTGAGATCTTTCATGAAGTTTGATGGCCAGATCGTTGAGAGCTGCGATTCTCCCAGAATGACCCGGGGGGCGGAGTTGTAATACAGCCCGAAGGGCCTCAATGGCCTGATCAAGGTCAGACATAACGTCCGTGTTCGAATCTGTCTTGAAGGCTGTTGACAAGGTTGTTGAGACACATAGATCAACGAGAATATTAATGGCCATCTTACTGAGAAGGGTTTCGCAATGAATGTGAGATCAGAGTGCAGATATTTGAGTCAAGTTCGTGGCGAAACTGTAAGAAGATGGCGCTCAGTCACCGACATATGAAGTATGAAATCTCCCACCTGATCCTCGCTCAGCGCCGCACATGACTGGAAACAAGCGTCCCACAAAACACAATTCAGCCGAATCTTTGACTCCTGAACCAATTCTTCAATGACAGACCACTGTCGGACTATGTCGGACCTCGTCGAAATCTCAGTGTAGCGTATGCGAAGACAGTATGAGTTCACTAGCCTTAGTGACCCATGCTAACCTGCAAGCATCCAGAAATATGCGAAGTACGATGGAAATCGTATGGTGTCTTATGATGTCTACGTGAAGAGAGCAGAGGTCACTTGCCATACTCAGGTCCTTCAGCATCTGGTATGTGATTCAATTCGAACACACGCCACTTTCTTCATCGTTCATCCCCAGCTGGACAACACGCAGTTAGACAACTTTCTTCCAGTGTTCGTGTGATGTGCGATAAAGAAGTTTCAAAGAATTTATATTACATCAAGCGAGTTCATATCTATCAACACATCATCAGCCGAACGTCCCCAGCAGAGAACGATTGCAAAAAAAGACTTACGATCCTACATCTTCGCCTTCCTTTTCCCTACACCATGCATGATCTCATCCAGAATCTCGATGAGTGCCTCGCCGAGTCCGTCCGGTTTCTCCTGAGGAATCTAGATAGGGAGGAATCAATATCTTACAACTAAGCTCGAATGTCGGGGCTACATACCAGATGTCCTGCCCCCTTAATAATCCGCTGAGACACCACCCTATTCTCTGCAGCGTCCAAAATTTCTTCCCTCGCCGCTTTGGATCTACCACATACAGCGTCACTCCCCCGACCACGAACTTGAAGAAAAAAACGCACATAAATTGCTCAAACTCAGCCCACACCACATGTACACCCCTCCCAGCTTCCTCCACCGCTCGACACGCGCGCCCCAGAGCCTCCGGCTCCACCGTGTGCGATAAACACGCATATAACGGGCTCTCCTCATCCTTCCTCAAAGTAGGAGTAACATAACTCTTCCCATCACTTTCCGACTCATTCACTTCTTCAAACCCATGCTGAACATAAGTGCTCAAAACCCTCTCATCCCACTTCCTCCAAACACCCTTCCCACCGACTAACCACTTTACCAAAGCCTCCATATTCTCCCAACGGTCTCGTTTAGCCAGACAGCCTCGAACGTTTGCAGCCCCGTGAATTGAGCGAGGGTCAGTTGGAGAGAGAGAGGGGAACATCAATGTGGGTTCGATCATGACAAGAGCAAAGGGCGTCGGGCATGGATTGGTGGATGCGAGTGCGAGGATCCATAGGGTACAACTCCCGGAATGAGGGATGCCTACTACCGAACTGGTGTTGAGCCAGGGAGAGGAAAGGAAGGCTCGAAGGTAGAGCGCAAAATCTGCCGTTGCTGCAGGCAACATTGATATTAGTGTGATAACATATATGGAGGACGAGGAACGCACTGCATGCTCCCTTCCCACTTGCCTTACGCGCATCAAGCACGGGGCGGTTGAGAAGCGCCGTTTGACCATGATTAGGGAAATCGAGCACCCAGATATCTTTGATCGTTGCACGAGTCTGGTCGTGTGAGAGCAGGCGAGTGATGGTAGGGTCGTACTGTTCCTTGTCTGCACCAACACCGTTTTCGGTTAGTTGTACGAGATATGGATGAAAGAACTCACGTCCAGCGATCCCATGTGTGAACACGAGTGTGAGGCCGTCTTTGGAGGAGGAGACGGGGTAGTACAACGTGACATACTTGAGTTCCACTGGGTCTGTCCCTAGAGTGGTGTGTAATGAGAGGACGCGCCGCTCAGGTGCCGGGAACTGGGACATTTTGGGCACGCCAGGCTATGTAGTGTTCAACCAAAATCAACCTGTAGGACGTTGGGATAGAAATGAAGCAATAACGAGCAAGGACAGCACTTCTAAGCGCCAACTTGCAGGCGTAATCTCGACAACCATGTTGGCAACGAAGTTCCGGTTACTTCGGTGTGAGTTGCATCGAGGCTCCCACATCCCCGGGTGTTGCCGCTTGGTTCAATTCGTCCTTACTTTACGTAGTAGTAGCTCGTCCTTGACATTTATCTGAGCGGCTGCTTGTCCAATGGCATTAGGCACTGAGAATGGCTAGGAGAGCGGAGATCGATTTCAGTACTTCGACTCAGACATTTTGCTGTCATCAGCCTGACATCCCTATACAGCACCAGAATTCGCAGATGCCATAGCTCGCATCTTCTACCGCAACCAAGTCCTCACCGAAGCATCGTAATGCAATTACACGACCTGATGCAGATCATTTTGAATCAACGCATACTCACATTACATCGCCGCTCATATGGAGGATCACCTTTCCCTGTCGTATCGAGATTCGACACGAATAGAAACTTCTCCCTGACTTTCTCCCCAGTGGGGTTGCAGATATCTGAACACGGACATCCATGACTCGCTCGGACGGCAGCCTATGTAAAGGGATCCTACGCATCGGAGATAATAGGGCAGCGAAAATGACGATGACACTTCCTGTGCATGTGCCATCCACAAGGGCAACAAATAACACGACTCCCGCTGTGTTCTCCTGTCGCAGACTCCTGTGTGGAGGTGTCGTCCGCTGCAAGATAGAGAGTGCTGCTGTGCAGTGGGTTTATTGGTATCAGTCTCTGCGCTCAAGGGACATAGGAAGGAGAGGAGCAGAGAATGAAGGAGAAACGAAACAAAGAACGAGAGGGCAGGAAAGAAACAGATGAATAAATGGTAGCGAAACCAGAAACAAAAATAAGAACATAACATAGACTGCAAACATTCAATTCAAAGCTCACTTCCACCCTAGATCATCACTCAGCTCCGCAATAGTGAAGACAACGTGAGCAGCGGGCTAGCGCAAAACAGGAACTTACTACATGCTGAACGCTTAGTAGTGCACGCGGACTGTTGACTTTATGTAAGTTTGTGAGGCACTACCCTGCAATCTCCTATCTAAGTTGTGCCCTGGGCGTCTATGTAACACGAGGCAGGTAAATGCAGTGCAATAGCCAAAGAAAGCACCGTACACAAGCAAGGCTCTGCAGCTTGGAGCAAGACGTCCATAACTCCTCCACCCAAGTCCACCTCGACCGTATTCAAGACCATTAACTTCCAGTAAAATGTCGCAGCTCATTCCAAACTTCACCACACGCATTCGAGTTTTCAAAGATCACATGGAAGTTATACACGCTGTAGCAGTTTTCCCGGATAGACGACGTATGATCGTGGCCTCGGATGACACGACACTTTGTCTGTGGGACTTAGAAACAGGCGTGTTGAAGAAGAAGATGGAGGGGCATCGTGCCAAAGTGAACCAATTGGCGGTATCACGAGATGGGCAGACGATAGCAAGTGGCGATGACGAGGGAGAGATCATCCCCTGGAACGGAGAAACCGGGGAACCACTTACCCAACCTATCAAAGCCCACTCCGAGGAAATCTCGGCGTTAGACTTTTCTCCTGATGGTAAAGTGCTAGCCACCGGTTCAACAGACAAAACGATGAAACTATGGAGAACGGAAACTTGGCAGATGGAAGGAGACCTATTCGAGTGTGATAGTGAAGTCAACTGCGTTCAGTATTCGCCATCTGGTAAACATCTTGCGATCGCAACAGAGACCAATATCAAAATCCATAATCCTTTACACAACCTCTTCCTTGAGGGACGTCCTCTCACCAGAGTCGAAGTCAAGACAACAGGCAACCAGTCACTCGCCTGGACGCCCGATGGCACCCGCCTTCTTTCATCGGGTGGTGAGGACGATCCCAGCATACGGGAGTGGGACACATCTACCTGGAAGCAGGTCGGTGATCCCTGGACGGGCCACACTGATTATATCGTCGCCATTGCCATTCATCCTGAGGGCACCTACCTGGCTTCTGCATCTTATGACAGCCATGTCCGTCTCTGGCGGCTGTCAGATCGACGACCCATCGCCATCTTTCAGCACTCAACCTGGATGACATGCGTCACTTTCTCCATGGACGGAAAACATGTCCTCAGTGGAGGTGATGATAAGATGATCTCAGAATGGGAAGTACCCGAGTACGCTTGGCCAGAAGAGGTACTTTCCCGCCGATTCCCTACACTTCCGCCATCTCATCTTGCATCTTTTTTAATTCCAAGGCTCAACACCCTGATTCAAAGGCATGTTTCCACCCTTCAATGGCATACCATAATTCGAGCATTTTGCATGCAGATCCTTGCCATCAACACAACCGCCCGAAAAGCTTGCATTACGGGAGATTTGTCTGCAGCTGAAAAGATACTCACGCAAGAGATCGAAACCGATGCCAATAATGACATATCCTACGCCGACCGCTCGCTCGTTATGGCACGCAAATTTGACTGGGACCGGGCACTTCATGACGCGAGTAAGGCAAGTATGCTGACCCACCGTGCTCCCTCAACATAGGCTGACATTAATCGTGATATAGTCCCTCAGCATACGGCCCTCATTGACAGGGTATGTTGCCAAAGGTATCGCTCTCTACGGGAAACAGCAGGTGTTGGACGCGACGACAGCCTTTGACCTCGCGTTTACGTTCGCGTTCACGGATGGAGATTCAAAGACTCCTTTTTTCCTTTTCTTGATCAAGGCAGGTTGCATTTTTCTTACACACTCCGTACTTCATTGCGGGTTTCAGGTGATAGCACTTTTCAATGCAAATAAACATGAGGAGGCAATGCTGCTCGTCCAAGACCTGGCTACCCGTCCCAATCCTGATCCTCTTGGTTCTCGTGTCGTGGAAGTACGTATCATGCACTCGATGGAGCCCAGGTTCGTATCCTCACTGATTTTTCGCGCATCAGGCGTATCTGCGAGTCCAGCTGGGAACCATTGCCGTGGACGGTGCGCTTCACAAAGAAGCTGCAAACCACTTCACAGCAGCTGTCAAGGCTGCCGCTTTCTTTTCTACATTGGACATTCATGCTATGTACGCGGACTTTGTTGTGGTACGTCGATATGACACGACCGAGAATCCTCTTTATGCTCAACTGCTTGCTTCTCCAGCTTTTCGGCTGGGACCTCAAGTCCCTGTGGCAAATTGCAAACCAGCAACGCTACCATGCACTCATTCAGTCAGGTAAAGTTGGAGCAGCCCTGGAATCGTATCGATACATGATGGACATGAGCGATGAGGCCACGAAGGCCATCTTCCTTGCTTGGATCAATAGTAAGTCTCTAGTAATGTTATCCGTGCTACGATAATTACCCTTTCACTCAGCTTTCGATGAAGAATGAAGGGCACACACGAAGCTCGAGGCCATCGTAGCGAGTTGTCCTTAGAACAGAGATATTTACCCCATTCTGATTTGTACCTCGATTTTATACGGATCTCGCCCTTTGTATTCATATCGTGTGCTAGCTCATAATGCAAAGCAAGGAGGCCCCTCGAAAGCTACTGCAAATTTTACTATACGAGCAGCCTCACTCCCCTTCCCAGTTCATTCACCTCCCTAAGAAAACTCGACAGCACGACTAACATTCGTCAATCCCCAAAAACTCGTTTCAAACATTCAACTGGCATGTCTTCCACCTCCGTGACAGGCTGGTACCGCATTATTGAACACCACATCCAACCATCCAAACGCCTCACGGGTGCGATCAAATGCCTCATCGACATCTTCTTGCTTCGTGACATCGACCTTGAGCACCAGGAACTTGAATATCGAGCCGCAAGATCGCACAGGCCCTCTGGTTTGCAGAGAGTCGCTACTATGATGTCTCCTTGGCTGAGTGCGTACTCTGTCATGCACCTTCCGAATCCCGACGACGTGCTCGTCACTGTGTGCGATGCTTAGTGTCGGCCACACTCCTAGTAAGCAGAGGAATGGCTTACCGGGAGAGGATATTGTAGCTTGTTCACGAAATGATGGGTTTTCCTGCTTCGGTCGTGGCTTTTATGCCACTCTGTCGTGCCCCAGGGTCATATCACAATCGTGCCCCAGTCGGAAACATTTGTAAGACTTGTCACTGGAAATGCTACGTCGGAGAGTTGACAAATCAGCAGTTCGTGAGCGCCGTCGGACGCAGGTCACTAGTACTTTGGCACTCTCAAAAACCAAATACTCAGGGAACATCAGTCAAGTGGATTATCAGTAGCCTACTATTAGCTCACTCATCATGTACTTGTCTTATCTTCCCTATGTTTTACTCCGTAAGTCTCAGGATCAATTGATGTGTGTAGTACATGGTAAATGCGACTAACCATCAATTCCTGGTCAAGACGTATGACCGCTTCAAGTCCTATCAGCCGGACGGACTTACTACTGATTTCCATCGGATGGTATCGCCAGCAGAACAAACGGAGCAAAAGCTCACCGATCATCTTCGTCCTCATGAACGCTTCCAAGATTCCAAGGATAGGTCTTCGACTACTAATCTGAAGCACCATGCCATTGGCTGCTGTGGCAAAGAGGCAGTTGACCTTGCATTTAGTAGCGGAAAGGTACAGGCACCGAGTGGGTCAATCTTCTCCGCCTTTGCTCGCCTACGTAGTGCTATTTCTTGAAGTTGTAGTATGTGTACCCGCAAGTAAATGCATACTGCGGGTAAGCTGCCATACCCGCGGGTTAGTACGGGTAACACCGTGCCTCTACCCGTAGGGGTATGGTGTTGAGGGGTATGGGTACGGTGTTGACTTTCCGACCTGCGGGTATACCCATGGTATATCCTACGTGCACATAGATAAGTAACTCACCTTGTTCTTCTACTTTCCTTGCATTCGGGATATTCTATCGTGTATGATCTTGGTCAAGGGGTGATGGGGATTTAAGAAAATTTTCGGGTCAGTTGTGAGGGCAAAGATAGACTAGACTAAGTACTTACTATTCCGCAATTCCGCCAGATGAGCCTTCTCAGGCGTGAGGATGACATTATCATGTCAACAAACGGAAGTTTCGCGAATCCGGTGCTTCAGAGGCTGGGTAGATCATTCTAGGAATGATAGACATAATTATCCACAACGTTAACGTTGCAGTTCGCCAACTCCATTCTGTTTCAGACACAAAACAAGTCTCTGGTACGGATATGTATCCACTTCTTAAAGCAGGGGATTAGCATAGCAGGGAATTAGCATAACATGTTCGAGCACCTTACTTTAATACTTATTCTTCTTTTTTTCGCGCTGAGGAGACCACCGAACGACGGTGAGTCATGTGGCTAAATACAGGATGCAAATTACTCATACTCACGCAGTGACGACCCTGTGTGTGCAGTCTGAATTACGCCGGCAAAATAAAGGACATACACTGTCAGGGTCACCGGCAGGTACCGATGCTGCAGATATTGATGCTGTCAACGCAGCAACAACAGCGAGGACACAGGAGCAACGGATTGTTAGTGAGGATGTGACATAGGATCTGAAGGGGACAGTAGGAAGACGGCTTGCTTTTATGTGCTGAATATTGTTATTCATGGCGATGTAGGAAGAACCTACATATATCTGTAGTTCATACAGATGGTCCGATCAATATTAATTTGGAGTGGAACAAAATATCAACCTTGCGAAGCAAGGTCACAGCTATCTTCATATCGATAGACCAGGGTTTGGAAAAATCGTCTAAGCGCCTCCGTTTACTTGTGGAGCTAAACAAATAAAAGGGTCAGACTTGTCTATTCGGGCGAAATTTATCAGAACGACAACTGTGTGCTCACCTTTTGGGCGCTCTCTGTGATGAACCCGCCCCAATTGGCCCCAACTGCGAAATTCTCGACGTAGTCTCAGTGTCAAGCAAACAGGTCATCGGTAAAATACATGTCATTGCAAATGAGGTTGTACTCAGCATTGAAAGTTATAGTTGCGAGAGCCGAAGCACGCGGTTGGCAGTTGGATGGCTTTATCCTGCCACTTGCCCTATGTCAAAGTTCGAACCCATGCTACGAGCAGACAGTGACCTGCTGCTGTTTGACAGCGAGCTCTGGTATGTGCCAACGGGTTCCCGAGCATAGTCAAGTACTCCCAAAGTTGCAAGTTACCAAGGTAAGTAGTACGGGAAGGTGCACCTCTGTTTGGTATTAGTCTCCCTTAGGCAGACCAATATGAAGGAAGACAGTCGTTCCTGTTTGGTATGCTCCAAGCCTCCAAGCTTAGACAAATAAAGCAAAAATCTGAAATCTGGTCTATCGATATGAATATAGCTGCAATATATTTGCCGCTGTCGGGAACAAACCAATATTGTTTGCTTTTCATGTCATCTTTATGACGTCTGGATTTTTTCAGCTACAACTCACGCATTAACTTGCAGCTCAACATCACAAAAATTGCTCAACTCAATCTGTTGGGCGCAACAAGTTACACATTACTGCAGGGTTGTGTCACCGAACGTGCCAAAGTCTTATCGGAATACTCATATCGCCTCTCTGCACGCTAGTACACATCTGCTTATACGTCAACCTAAACCGACAATGCCTCATAATCAGTCAAGCCGAAGACGAATCGCTTCTTGGACCGCTACCAAGTAGTGCAACCGCAGCTCGGCTACGGCCCGCTCCGGCTTGGTCTTCATCGGTTTGCAAGTATTTTGGCTATCCTAGTGAGCCAGGCTACTTATATATAGTTTGGTCTGGTTTGTTAGCCGTTTGGAGTCCCACGAACCAACTGTGAGCCAAAAATAAACAACAGCAGCTCGAGCTGGCTTGAGGCCAGCTCAAGCTGATTTATAAATACGAAATCACGTCTCTGTTGAAGTCTCATTCCCGGTTAGTTTGACTGTTGCTCCTCGAGGCCTCAAGGCTCAAGTTATCTCATAGTATACCCACCATGAACCATAAGGTCCCGATACGAGTTGACGGTAGATTCAGACTCGGAGATGTTTTGGGATCTGGTTCATACGGTGTGTTGTTCACAAGCTGACTATGATTATAAAAAATTAACATACTATGGACCCTACTTAGCTGTTGTGTACCATGCTTGGAACATCATCAAAGATGATGCAGTTGCCATCAAACTCGAATCCATCACAGCCCAGCCATCTTCTGTACAGCATGAATACACCATTCTGAAACAACTTGAAGGTGGAGTTGGGATACCCCGCGCTCTCTGGTTTGGTCAAGAATCAACATATCATGCTTTGGTTCTTGGCCTCCTTGGGCCATCACTGCATGATCTTTTCCTCGCACATGATTGAAAATTTAGCCTTCATACTGTTGTCAATCTAGGAATCCAACTGGTCAGTCGGTTTGTGCTGGGTTGTTGCAGATAGGATAACCCATTTTCCAGCTCTCACGTCTTGAGTACATCCACTCGAACAATTATGTTCACTGCAATATCAACCGCAGAATGTCTTGGTGGGCCTTGGCCATTTGAAGCACACTGCATTTATAATCAATTTCGGTATCGCGAAGGAATACTGGGACACTGCAACCAGAGTCCATATTCCCTTTCGTCAAAATCAATGTCTCACTGGCACTCCTGCCTTCGCTTCAATCAACAACCACTTAGGAGTTGACCTGGGTCGTCGTGACGACCTTGAATCGCTTACATACATGTTGATCTATCTGTTACGCGGCTCCCTTCCATGGTTAAATAGTGACCATGAGAAACTCTCCAGCTCTTCCATACTCAAGCGCAAGGTCAACACCACCATTGAAGTCTTATGTGATGGAATTCCCGTCGAATTCGCAAGTGTTCTCATCTACATGTGCTCTCTTGTGTTCTTGGAAGACCCTGACTATGGGCATCTTCATTCATTGCTTTGTGGTCTTCAAGCCACCTTGGCTGCGCCATCTACATGCTCGCTGGATTTCAGCATGCCCAATAATCACATCACACATCACCCTCCAATCTCCAATGAACACTGGATAGCCGAGGCGGCCCCATGTCTGCCGGATGCAACACCACTTTGCAGATCTACTCGTGTGTGAGTATTCTGTCTCATTTTTCCATTCACAATCTGAAGCTAATGTGATTTTGAAGTTTACACCAATGTAATACCTCTCCCATGCACCCAACTGCACTGCGGAAAAAGCCATTAGTTGCTAGATCACGCTGTTGAATATGTCTTTCTATCTCTACATAACTGTACAGTGTACAAGTCTACAATGTGTTTCTCATAGGTTTCAAACCATTCAATGCAGTCAAATACATGTTGACAAATTTGCATCTTGAACGTTTGAACCCTAGGCCTGATTCCTGAATCCCGACTCCCAAGGGCTGACTCCATGCTGAGTCACGCAGCTTCTTATCTTTTTCTCACCCTACCATCTCCTTGCCCATCCTCCTTGCAAGTTGCAAGTGCTGTTTTTCTGCAAATCGGTCGGCCTGCTACAGAAACAAACTTGTCCTGGATACCTGTACCTTACTCCTGAAGCCTGATTCCCAACATCTACCAGTTTCGCCTTATTGAATCATATCACTGTCATGACCAACGACGCATGGGGGATTTTCCACAAACACCCCAATCCCCTTGCACTGTATCACAATTAAATGCTCAATCAATCAGTCATCGACTCCTGGAATAAAGGTAAGCATTAACTCGCTTGACCCATTGGTTGATATTTGAAACATGTGTTCAGTGACCGTCAAACCACCCACCCTAACAACCATGGCAAACCCTCTGCAAACATGAGATGTCCCTTTCGCTGGATGTCCTTGCTATATCGCAATCTGACTTCTGGACAGCCAGTTGACTCTGAGGATGTAGGTAAGCTTTACTGTGCTTGATATAACCAACTGATTGCGAGATCTGTTACAGGGACCTTCAGACCCCTATCGTCTCCACCAAAACATCGCTGTCACAACCGCGTCATACCATGTGACAGATGACGTCACCGGCACGTGACTAAACTGCAGAGCACAGCATGACAGCTGTTGGAGCAAGACAGCTCTGGAACTGACCTAGACCAGGATCAATAGAAGCCGCGCGCTTCTTCCTTATCGCCCCTACCGATACACCGGTACTGACTATCGTTTATCCTATCGCTTATCATGACAGATAGCGTTATCTGACTTGGACACCTGCCACTGTGCCGGTGCCATACCCTGGACCCTTACCATTGAACCGGTACTCTTATCTCTGAGTCCTTACGACTCACATAGACGCTTACCTAGTTGGGACGCTTTCTGGCTACCCAAGCCTACCCTGAACTCATAGGACGATACTTATATATACCACAGTAGTTAGACCATGTATTCTCTAACTTGATCTTCACTTGTGATATACGACTCTAGCTTCTACCATTGAAACTTCAGTCAGTCATTCTGGATGGATGGCCTCCATTCAGTCTTCCATCGTCCTGGTGCTCCATGAAGCGGACACGGGATCGACCCTATCAAGTGCACTGTTGGGAAAGCCGGGCTTTCCTGTAACAGATCTAGGGTACATCAGAACGCACATCTTATGGTATTGGTATCCCTCTCATTGGGTAAGTAGTGGGCATCAGGGAAACCCCACACATATATTGTGCTGCCTAGGACCACTCAAATGAACAAGATCTTATGGTACGTACCCTGGGCATACATTCCGTTGTCCTCCTGGTGTCATATCACAATTAATAATGTTGTTCAGACCTTCACTTGTGCGTACATGTTGGACTTGTCATTAGTTGACTCAGCATTGGTGTTTCCCCGCTGTTTCCCTTGACGAAGATACATAAAGACTGTGTCTTTGAATCTTTACTGTCACTCAAACATGCCTCCTTGTCGACGAGGGCAGAAGTCTCAAGTTACCACTGTGCCTACTCATGCTGCTGTAACTCCTACTGCTGCTGCTCCAATTGATGCTACTGCCATCGTTACCCCCATTGCTCCTGCTATTGCGCCCATTGCTGCCACTGTTGCGCCCATCACTGCTGCTGTTGCATTGAATGCAACTATGCTTCAACACCCCCAAAGGCAATGGCAACTGCCTCTGAGGTTCCGCAATAATAGCGCAGTTCGTACTGGCACTAGTCGCATGCCAGATGATGGAGAATACATTGACATTGGCAATGTCTCCGGGGACAAAGAAGATAACTTGCCTGCACCCAGCGTTAGGGCTCCTCCAGTTCCCAGCCCTCTGCAGACAGTTACAAGTACCATCTACTCCACCCAAGTCGATCCCTTGGCTACAGGTGTCCGAGGAACGCAGCCTAAAAGCACTGCTGATATTAATCACTTCTTTAGGGAAGATTCAGCTACTAAACACAAGATTTGCCGAATTTGCGAGTGAGTTTTGTGTCTGCAATTATTTCATTCTTTCTTATGGCCTTGTCCAGGGATTTGCAGAAGGTGGACAGTTCACACCAGGTTATGTCGTATAAGCACTCAACTGGCACTTCTGCCCATCGTACTCATGATTTCTATCACCACACTGACATTTTCCTGCAAGAGGCGGAGCGCCTACACTGGCCTATCTACATACAGCCACTCAATGAGCGACTTGCTGAAGGGTGGACTTTGGCAGCTATCCATGAAAGCTCCAGGACCCTGCGTATCACATTGAGTCGCTCGGTACCATCCCTAATCAGGGACATGGCAATTTTCCGCCTGGAACCACCTTATCTCCGGACAATTATATCCCAGATTTCAGCATTGATGAGATGCACTGTCAGTTGGTGAAATTCATAGTTGTGGATGATCAGGCAAGTTGATATTTACTTTCTACGTGCCCTTGCTAATTCATTTTCTGCAGGCAATAAACATTATCAAATGTGTGGAGTTTCGACGCCTGATACATTTTTTGTGGAAGGATTTGACCGATTCAGACATTCCTCACCACACAAAACTTCGTGAGCTCATAATCGTTGCATGGCAGGAGTATTTCCAGGTGTTGAAAGGTGATCTTGCCGTGAGTGTCTAGTTATCGAGAATCCCACCATATGTCTTATGTATTCTTACAGAGGGCGCAACATCAGGAAAAAGGGTTATTGCTATATTAGCTCATATAGCGCTATATATGAATATATAGCATCTATAGACATCATAGGATCTAAAGCAATCCCCCCCTCTATAGAGAGGACATATAGTGACATATGGCATTACTTGTAGCTAGGAGTACATATAGGCATATATATTCAACTTCCAAAATTTGGAGGCACCTCAATTTTTTTTCCTTTACTACACTATATTTCTGCTATATGTCTGCTATATTTGCATTTATATTCACTTTCCACATCAAAAAAAGTAAGAGCAAAGACAAATCAATTCAAACTATAGTTAATCATAGTGACAAAAATTTGCAATTAACTACTACGCCTTCCCCTGCTTGGATACCTTAGCTGCTGTCTCTAGGGCTGAGAAATCAAATATTGGAGTAGGAGCGTCAGTTGATAGAGCAGTGTGGCCTTTCCTGTATTGGCACTGTTAGCAGAGTCTATAAATGTGATAATCATGGATGCACCAGAGCCCCTCCTTCAGCTCATCCCAGACAGTCTCCAAATAAGTTGGACATTTGTTGGAAAATTTAGCGAGCAACTCCATAAAGCTCTCCCACCTGCGATAATACATTAGATACACAAAAAAAAGAAAAAAAAATCAAACCGAGATTTGAAGTAACTTTCTGAGAAGTTTACTGGTGATCCTCTTTTTACTCCAAGAAGGACACACTCCACCTACAATCATCATCAGTCACACACTCAAGCATGAAGGATGGTCACTTACTGCGCAAGTGATAAGAGCCAGGATAGGAAGATTATCTGTGTAGGCATTTCCCTTCCTACCCCACCACTGAGCCTCCAGTAGTACTCTGAATGCTGGGTTTTTGAGTGGCGCCTGTGTGTCACAGGTGAGATTCTGGGTATATGAATGATCAGTATTAGTCCTGCTCTGCTTTGGTCCAAGTTGAAGACTCACCCTTACATCCATGCCGCCATTCATAAACCTCATATCATCCAGCAACCACTTCAAAGCTTCCTGGAGGTCATCATCAGTCCAGTCGGAGCCTGTGCCAACTCCAAAACAGGCGGGAATACTAATTCTGGCTTTGGCGACAAGCTCACCCCTTATCTGAGTGGCGCCTTTCCATGTCTGCAAGAGTACTAATCAGCTTATAGATATTAGAAAGAGAAAGTCACTTGCATAGTCAATGAGCTGAGCCTTGAGGGCGTCATAACCCTGTATCTCCTTCATCTTCTCCCACAACAACTTGTCTTGCTTGGACGATTCCAGGATGAGGTCCCAACACAGCTGGTCTCTATCAGAGGAGGAGGGAAAGCCTTCCACTGTAGTGACATGTAATCTTAGGGCCTTGTGGCCAGAGATGGCAATGCGTTTGGTGTGAGGGCTCTCCATATGACTGAGAGTAGCTAACTTTGATACCTTTGATCTGGGAACGCTGGTTGTAATGCAAGGCTCCGCGCTCACTTCCACCTGGTGGTAGTAGTCTGTTAGCTATCTGTATCAAATTACAATGAGCACTTACCTCTTCACCAGAAAATTTAGCGTGCTCCCCTTCCACCCCCTCCATGTCTTCCTCCCCCACCCTCACCCCCACCCCCTCCTCCTCCTTCTTCTCCTCCTCCTCCTCCTCCTCCTGGTACTCCTGGTCTTCCTTGTCCAACTCATCCATGCTATCAAGTTCAGAATCAAGAATTGATTGTACCATACCGGTATCTTGAGAGTCTGCAACAGGTGAGGCTAATCGCCCAATCCTCCTGACTTTTGATGGTGGTAACTGCGCATGGTGGTCTTCTCCTTCATCTGCAGAGCCAGCGGACTTGTTATCTGTCTCATTAGACAGAATATCTGCTGCTCTCTTGCGTGATGCTATTGACAACGTATTAGCATACTTTACTTAGCATGCTCTAATGCTTACCTTTCTTGACATTTTCAGCTGCCTGAGAAGCCACTGCTTTCTTCTTAGCAGTGAGCTCCTTTAACAGGTTCTCCTCCTGAGCAGAAAGGCCACCAGGAGTCATAGACTTGGACTTGGCCCAAGAGGCAGATGAGGAGGTATCGCTAGTAGAGGTCGGTGGTGTGCTGGTGTTCTTGTTGGTATCCACTGCACCCTTCTGAGCCATGCCTCTACCTCTTTGTGCAGTTCCACTTCCGGTTCCACGTGCAGTTCCACGTCCTGTTCCATGCATGGTTCCATGTGTTGAGGAGACTCCATTACCACGGATGGGGACAGATGAGCCTTGCCCTGAGGCGCTTCTAGTGTTAGGCCGAGACATGGGTAGAAGAGGAGAGAAGGAATGGGAAAGTAAAGGAAATATTAGCAGCAAAGAATTACATAAACTTTGGCTCAGAGCAAATAGATGTGGTTCTGTTACTGTTACCTTCTGTAAGATAAGCTAAGAGGCGGATAGAAGCTGCTTACTATGCCCTCAAAATATGGGGAAAGTAGACTCTTAGGAGCATTGGTAACAGATAGGTCCATGGTTGAACTTTGAGCGACTGTTGGACAGCACTGTAAGATCTACAGGTTTTCGAAAGAGTCTAAGTGGAATTGAAGCACCCATGATCCTTCCAACCATTACGTTTATCCTTCCACTTCTGAAACTCCCCATCTGAATGAAGTACCAAGGAGGCTCTTTCACCTAGGTAGTCCAAGTTGAAATGTGTTGTTTCATCAGACCTAAAGCAAGCACAATCTCTGTTATGCATCTCAACAACAACTCCCTGCTCCCTCATCACCAGTCCACCCCCTACAAAGTTACTGATGGGCAGTACTAAACACAGTCAAAAGTCCTTTCCGTCCCGATGACCTATTGTGCAGACGTTGATGTTCACCACCAGAGACAAGAAAGGTTTTACCGGTGATCCACCAGCATTGGGAAGAATATCAACGAGCTCAGCAAGAACAGTATAGTCATCTGGAAGATAATGAGCTACCTGAATATGCATCAGAGAACATACTACAATACTCAAAAACTACTCACTGTCTGCTCTATCCACTCAAAAACCTCCCTTAGGTTATTCTGGATGTTGAGATACAGTTGCTCATATTCAAAAGTTTCGCGTGACATGTAAGGCAGTTTTTGTGTGAGGTTAGTTCTGCCTGATGTAGCCACCAAATCATGAGGGTGTGTGTCAGCAGGTGCCATGTTGCCCTACTGGATATCAGTGTCTACATATCAATGGTCATAAGCATGTACTCACCGAAAGACTGTATCTATTCCAATGGCTAAAGTGAATGCAGCGAAACAGTTCATTTGCTTCAGATTGTGATACGGCCTCAGGATCCTGGGTCTCTTGAGAGATGGACAACACGGTGTGATTCTTGAACACATCTAGGCAATCAAAAGTAGATTTCAGTAATGGGAAAAGGGTATCTCGCATTGAAGGAGGCATGAAATTGCAGATGAACACCATGAGGCTCCCATCCAAGTTGTGAATTTCCAATGCTCCTGGAAGGATAGACATTGGAATCTTGATGTAGGTGTCTGGTTGTTTAATTCTGGAGGGGTAGAACATGGATAGCTGCCCCGTACAAGACCTGTCAGTTGCATACCATTCCCAGACAATGAACGCTCACCTTCACCTTTAAATCTTCTGTGTCAGTGATTGTTACTGCACTCTCCTCAACGATCTTTCGCTGCTCAATAGTCCACAGCAAGTTCTGCACTTTGTCGCCGTTAACCAGATTGCGTTGGTTCTCAGGAGCCTCACGGTCAAAGGCTGTCTCTATGGAAATCAACTTTGGGAGCATCTTGATAGAGGTAGAGTCGTCAAAGAATTCGGGTAAGTGCAGTAGTCTTACAGCAGGTGAAGCTGTAGGTGCTGTTGCTGCGCCGACATCTCCAAATGACCTGGTGATGCACCCCAGGCTCAGCTTCTCATCCCAGCAAGGGTCTAGACAACTTCTCCAAGCCGATTTGTGCCAAGAAGGGAGCTGGTAATTACTGAAATAGATATGATTGGATACCGGTGTGAACAGTGATAATATCATCCTTACTTAGTATTCACCCCATCAAAAAGGCGGTCAGTGTCCCTAATGCACGTCCAATCCACCTCTCTGTCCAGGGCTACAGATGCACCAGGCATGCTCAAAGGTAGGGATTTACGCAGACGAGATATCATTGGTATAATTCTCCTTTCTATGAGAACCAGTAAATCGCTTTCTGTTCCGGTTTTTCAGGTACAGGAATGAACTGCTGATATGGGCGGGACTTACCGCAGGCATTCGGCCTTCTCAACATCTTGGTGATTTCCCAGGGCACATTGGCTTGCATCCTAGTTACAGTCCATCACAGGTCTTTGGCAGCCACGAGAATTAGTAGATAGAATGACCCCCCTGCTGCCAAGTGCATGAACTTGAAACCCGTGGCAATCCAGAACAGAAAGGTGCGAATGGTAGGTCTGTCCACCGGTAGGGTTTCATATAAATCACTGTAGGTAGTGGATGAATCTATCATACTAATACCCATTCAATTAATGATTATGAAAGTCAGATGAATGTTTGAAATGCACCTCTGGCATTTCATTGCTAGCTGCATGTAGTTCACCATGGAAATCAAACTCCACCCAACACCCTTTCCGCCCCAAACCTTACACCGGTAAGTCAAAGACGTCACAGTATCACCTGACAACTGAATCTCAGATGCCACAGAGCGAATACTCTCCATCCACTGGGCCAGATCCAACTGAAGACCAGTGTCCATGGCTGCAATTACCCCAATGAAGGCTTCTGCCGAGATGTTGGAAGAACGGGCCGTGTTTTCTCCGATGGTCCACCTTCCTCCCATAGCCAAATTCCTGGAGTTCCTAGGGCAATGATGGTAAGGTTGCATTCGGTGAGATCCCTTGCCACCCGAAAGAGCACATCCACCTGCGTATTGCCTGTCTCCCACTGGATTGTCTTCGGTTGAATGCGGCGAAGGTGGGTTATGGGTGAGTAATTGATTAGCAAGAGCCACAGCTAGCTCGCTTTGCATGAGTTGCAGGGCATCCAAAACCAGAGAAAATTCTGTGTCGTCTAAGGAAACTTGAATAGACATATGGGGCCTTGCCTCTTCTAGCTTGTTGTTCCGGATGATGTGCGGGCAGTTCCTTATATGGTAATGAAACATTTTGCAGCGATGCACGCTGCAATGATGGGTGGGAAATTCCCACACAGAAGCACCGTACCATTAGGGCCAGCTTGACTCACTAATGGTTATTGATGGAGTCTGGTAAATCTGTTTGAATGCAACTCATCTTGATCGCCTCGAACATCGCAGTTGTATAGAAGATTTACTTTCTTTGTTGCTCTTGTTGATATGGATGTATGAGCATCTGTTGACACAACTGATTAGTACTAACCTTTTTTATGTGGGATTTGGGTTGCTTGTTTGGTGGACACTCCACTAGACTGGAACGGAAAATGTTGCACTTCTCCCCCAAACTGACACTACTCTTCCAAATGCCAAAGAAGAGTTCAAAAAAGTTCACTATCACGTCAGTTAGACAATCATGCCTAGTTCGCTTTATTGATATCAGCCACCAGATGGGTTCTTGTGTCCATAACCTGGATGCAAAGGGACCGCTCCGGGCAGATACCAAATATTGGGCTGTGAAGACCCTAAAACACCGCGCCTTCCACAATAACAGATGTTGCTCCTTGAATACATTTCCTCTTCTGAACGGCAGCGTATCCATGCCATCCTTCCTCAATGAGGCCAATTTGCAGGTTGTCAAGCAAGCTTGCATCAATGACGGCCGATATTATGATCTGTTCACGCGACTCCGGACACTATTTCTTCTGCATTCTGTAAACCTCACAGACGACACACTTCAAGACATGGCGCAGAAGATACATGAAGTAGGCTGTGAAGTGATGTCAAATAAAGTGCCCAGCAAGAAGACACCATCATCAACCGATATCCTAGTGCAGTCCCAGATAGAAACCCAGAGAGTGAATACTGTACTTCTGTTACAAACTCAGATGGTTCCACACTAGATACCCGCAAGGAGTACCGATCTAGTGTTGTGTCGGGTTTTCGAGGTAAGACTACTAGATGGAAAGTCTAGTAGAAGATAGTGTAAATGTGATAGAAGCGATGAGGCTTGCTATCTAGCTTTCGTGCTATCCCTCTGTCCTGAGGCTTTAGGCGTGATACTGAGTAGATTCAAGTTAAGGACTACTACAGCATACGGAGTCCTTTATATACGAAAAGCAGAAGATACCGGTTGAACGGTAAGGGTCAAGGGTAGTACCGACAATGTGGTAAGGGCATAGGGTATGAGTCAGAGATAACGGATAAACCAGATAAGCAATGTGAGAATGATCGGCCGCATGGATAAGCCAAGCGATCAGTAAGATGGAAGTTGCTTTGGCGACAGATAATGGGAATAAAAAGGTAGGCAAAAGAGAATAAGCTAGTCCGAGGGGCTTACGTAACGTCCCTGTAACAACTTCTCAGTGCTTTGATGGAAGTTGAGGATGTTGCTGACCTTGACACAAACACTGCGATCGCAATGGCTGTGACTAAGACACTTGTCACAGAGGTACGTGCATCTTGTTTTCAGGTGACATACCCTCATGATCTCTCATTGCAGGCATGAAACCAAGCTGAAGGATTCGTTGTGAGTCATTGGTCGAAGGATGTGTGTCCTTGGCTGTACAGTCCTTCCGATGAAGTGCGCCTGGTTGAGTTTTTGAACAAGGTGAGTTGGCATCCATTGCACGCGGATTTTGTGACTCATTCCCGGTGCGAAGATGTGCTTGTGGGTGGATCGGTACCTCACAGAGCTGGGAGTCATACAGCCACACAATTCCAACAATCCTCATCACCATTGGATAAGCACCAGTACCACATTCTTTCAAGCCAGATCAGGGGTGGCGGCATCATCCAAGACAAGTGGGACTGGCACTTGCAAGCCAGATGTCACCCTTGTGACCAACGACTCACATGAGTGGTCAGATGTCAAATCTGTTATCGATGTCAAGTATCGCCACTCCGAGGCTCTTCTCAAGGCCTCCAAGGAGTACATGGTAGAAGTTTCCTGGCTGGTCTTCACCAACCAAGTGCATTGTCACTTCTTTGTAGGAGCTCTCTTGACTGGACCAGAAATGAGGATCGCTCTTTTCACTCGTGGTTGTGGGGCCTTTTCTGAACCCATTGATATCTATGCCGATCCCGTCAAATACATGCAAGTCTTATCTTGGTTCATGCATACCGAACTTCGGTATCTTGGATACGATCCCTACTACCAAGCTCCCACTTCCACGGACAATCTGTCATTGTGGTTGATGAAGGCGAACAGTACCACAGAAGAAGACATGGTGCCAACTACAGTGCTTTCAATCATCTATAATGGTATCGCCGGATTTGGCCGCACCACTCAGGTGATGGCGGTCAGAGGCCTGAGACAGCAACTGGGGGTTGATCAAGAGACTTTGATTGTAAAGGAGGTTTGGCAGGTTGACTGTTTCTTACCGGACGGAGAGATCCATCAACTTTTGGAGGACAAGGAGCGCCTTCAAAAGGCTCACATAAAACTAGGTGCATTCTGAACTATCCGTGCCTCATTGGTCTGCATCTCATTTTCATTTAATAGAGCAAGAAAAGATTCCCTATCCTGACGTTATTCATGACACTGAGGCTGAAAAGAAGTCACAGTCAGTCTTGTTCAAGCAATGGCCCAAACCTGCATGGGATGATGAGGACAACAAAGGTTCTGTAAGAATTACCAAACATTTATTGCCGGAACATGCCGATACTCCTCTCACTGCAACCACCATGTCAATGCCTGGACCGTTTGTCAAGCACGATACCCAACCCCTTTTATTAGTACCTATCCTTTCAATTCCTATCACTTGCTAAACCCTTCCTTTCGTTACCGTTCCTCCATTCGTAACACCGCCGTCTTCACCCTGTCCACAACTCTTATATCATTCTCTCGCTACACTATCAAATACAACACCACTCCCTTCAGCTACCACTTTCATCGACCGTACACCGAGCCCTTGCCTTTAACTATTCTAGGACGACCCTTCCTCATCCTACAGTATAAGTAGCCCATGTACATTCCTAATAACGAGCAGAATAGAACAGTAGATCCCCCAGAAGAATGCCCCGAAGAACCCGTCTCATTACCTTCTCTTATCATCGCTATAACGCAGTCACTCTCATTTACCGATTCACGATATCTCTTGCATCCGTCATCCGTCATTTGAAGCTAACACTAATCATTATCATTCCTTCAGCGGTCTATCTACCCCCTTCGCACTCGCATCGCCTCTAGCTACACACGTCGTAGCTAACTTACAGTTCCTACCCCAGACACCTCCCTATTCGTGATCAACGCATGTCCATGCACCCTGTTATGATGATCGACTGTGATGGGGCGCAAGTACCAGACAGTGTTGTGAACATCATGAAGCCCTTGTCCGCGGAAATCTATCCCCTTGTGGACTATCGAACCATCTTCAAGATGAACGCAGTCAGGTGTACCTGGTTCTCCTGTCGCGGGGAATTCTTCTCAGGGTTGATAGGTGCTTTGAAGGGTGAGTGCATGTCTCAGTCCCAAATTTCAGAATGCTTAGAGTCCACCACCTAGGTCATCTCAACGCTTGGTTATGCGGGTTGATCCACCGTGATACCAGTGACGGCAATACATGGTTTTGGGTGCCCATAGCAGATCAAGATCATGCTGTGCCTAATTGGTGTATTGATGAAGGAGTGCCCAAATTCTGTGGAGAAATAGTAGAATCTGAGTGGTTTCCCATGCGTCCTGGAATAATCGGGGACTTCGGCTTAGCACTGGACTTCTTGGATGACTTGGAGAAAGCTTCGGAAGAGAAAAAGAAGTGGACTACAATGGTAAGCTCATCCTTTTTGCTTGCTTTTTGCTCGAGTGCTCATATGAAAGTAGGGAACTTTCCCTTACAGTAGTGTTGACTGAGAACATCCCCCCAATATCTGCCATGATTTGGAGTCATTTATTTTTCTCACATTCGTGCTCGGGGTGAACATTACGGGTCCTTACCATCAACTTCAAGATTGGCCTGTCCCTGTTCGTAATACCGATGCCATAGAAACAGGGATTTCCACCACAGTTGATTCAGCCAACCTCACCACAAAGAAGTTCAAACATTCTAATGCAGGTTGGGGTGAGAATAACACCCCCCCCCCCTCACATCGACACGCCGCGGTCATACCAGAACCACTGCAGCCATAGCCGCTTCTCCAGAATTTCTTGTGCATTCTTGTGCAGTGCCTCAATGGGTGAAGTTCAGCATTTCCAACTTCCAAGACGATGAAGTGATAATGCAAAAGGAGAACCTGATGTGGGATGCATTTGAGCGTTCCCTTGATCCGTACTGGAAGGTCGGCAACATGATGGCAATATGGAAGAAGATCTACGACTTGCTGTGGCCTTTTCCTGCAGAGAAGCGCTGGGGGCTCACTCATGCCAAGCTGATCAACGTCCTGTGAGAGATGATTGATGCAGTACCGGTGGACAAGGATGGTGCACCAGACAAGTCATTGATCGTGACAGCGAGGGAGAGATACCATAACTCGTTGACTAACCTGACCTCCAAGCAGGCAGTCATGGTTAGCCAAATGGAATACCTGCCCGCATCCCTACCACCTTCAGGTACCCATATCTCTGCATCTTCTGGGTTCGCCGGATTCGAAATCTACACTCCTGACGAGATCCACCAGAGCTTGCAGACCTCAGAGAACACCTCGGGATCAAAGAAGTGCAAGGCACTTTTATTGCAGGACAGCGACAGTTCCACTAGTGCGACTACTTCATCATCAGTCTTCCCATCGTCTGGTACAGCCGGCACGTCTGTCAGTTCATCCAATCTCTCTGGGGAAGGGAAGTGTCAGAGGAAATCCAGAGGATAAGATACTTAGTGGTGAGGTCGCTTGCATATATTCAATGGCTGGACTGAGGACCATGTTTTTTAAACCTTCATTCATGTACTTCGACAAACATTTGCCCAAGTGGTTTTGTAGCGATCATTTTGTAGCTTTCAAATATGGATTTGCAATAATTGGATTGTGAACATTCCCAAGTGAGGCGGGATGATGAGCGCGTTTTTGGTGAAAATTGTTGCAGTGATGGTGTGGGACACAATGCCCGATGCCTTCTCTTTAGGATAACCCTATAGCCACTTCTTATCTGGATCCTTTGATTGTAAGCTTAACATTTATAGACTGTCACCTTTGTCTTACCATCTTACCTTTGTCCAGATGACAGGCTTTCGTTCTGCCCTGCAGGCTTTAAATGTGAATGTTGAACACACTCGAGCTAAGGACGATGACCCTACAGTATGTCCTGCTTGTCACAAGCGCCTGAGGACAACCCAAGGACTGGCTACTCATCTTAGTACCGCCAAGTCTTGTAGATGGTACAAGAAAGGGAAGCTGAGGGCTTTAACCCTTCCAGGAGAATTCGCAGTTGATGAAGATGTACTGATGCGAGACATAAATGAGCCTCTTCCTGATGGACTGGAAGGACAAATGGAGGAGGAACCAGGTCAAGTTATGGAAGACTTCCATGATAGACTCTTCGATCTCATTCCTATCAGGAACCCACATGAACACCCAAGATCCCCCGACCCATCCTCTGTTTTAGACATGCGAGTTGAAGATGTGCATCCCACTGCAGGCAAGGTGATATGTATGGATGAAACGGTGCATCAGAGATGGAGGAGAGAATTTGGAGGATCTGATACCGACGGAGACATGGTGATGGAAGATTTGGGAGAGGGGACATCCATGAAGACAAACATGTTTGCACTGTTTGAGTCTGAGCTAGAGTGGAGAGTTGCCTGCTGGGCCATTCAGGATGGCATAGGTCACAAATCATTTGATCGACTCATGGCGATACCTGGGGTGAGCATTGGTTCTATTTTACCTCACAATTGTCTTTCTGCTTAATGCATTCCAACAATGGGTCTCTGAAAGACTAGGTCTCTCATACCATAATATTAGGGGATTGCACAAGATTGTCGACAGTGTACCTCTACGTGCTTGCTGGAAGACTCGTGAACTTTGGTTCAAGAATGACCCAGAGCACACACATATCATCTATCATCGGAATCCGATCGACACTGTCAAGACATTACTTGGAAATCCAGCACACGCAAACAATATTGTCTATAGACCCAAGAGAGTTTTCATGAATGCTTCTAGGGATAGTAGGATCTACAATGAGATGTGGACTGGGGACTGGTGGAACACTGTCCAAGTGAGCGTCCAATGACTTCTACCCCTGGTAGTACTGGTTTACTGACTCTTCGCTTTTCATTGACTCAGGACAGACTTCCAGCAGGGTCTTGTGTGGCTCCAGTCATCATCGCCACTGACAAGACCCAGCTCACCCAGTTTGCTGGCGACAAGACTGCCTACCCTGTCTACCTTACCTTGGGGAACCTTCCCAGAGCCATTAGACGGAAACCATCCCAGCATGCCTGTATCCTTGTCGCATACCTTTCTGTCAGCAAGATGGTTGGCGATGAGCTCAGCAAGAAACAAAAATCCACCCGCATTCAACAGCTCTTCCATGACTCTATGCGGATAGTTTTGGAGCCGCTAATAGAAGCAGGAAAAAGTGGTGTTGAGGTGACTGGAGGAGACGGTAAAGTGCACATGGTGCACCCGATACTAGCATGCTATGTGGCAGATTACCCGGAGCAGTGCCTGGTAACTTGTGCTAAGTATGGGACCTGTCCCAAGTGTGAGGTGGATGATAGCCAGATGGGAGATGGAGACCCGGGTCCATGGAGGACCCAACGCAAAACCTCGAAGATAATAGAAGCTGCCAGGGCCAACTCTACATCTATCAGCAACTTTCAGGAGCGCTGCAAGCAGGACAATGTATCAGGAGGGGTGAGGCGCCCATTCTGGGAGGTGTTCCCACATTGTGACATACACATGACCATCACCCCTGATGTACTGCACCAGTTGTACCAGGGGGTGGTAAAGCACCTCATCCACTGGTGCAGCAGCGTGATGACTGATGCTGAGTTGGATGCTAGGATTAGATCACTTCCGCCTTGTTTTGGTATGTGACATTTCAAGAATGGATGGTCTTGCCTAGGCTCAGATATCAGGGAAGGAGAGGAAAGACATGGGAAGGATACTTCTGGGGTGCATAATAGGGAAAGCTCTGTCTCAAGTGAGTTCATTGGAGTTCATTGGGATACTCACTCACCTTTACAAATTATAGATGGTAGCCTGTTATCGGGCTGCTACTGGATTTTATATATATCTCTCAGTATCCTTCACACAACAAGGACTCCCTGGGATATCTTCAAGTGGCCTTAGAGCAGTACCATGCCAACAAGTGCATCTTGATTGATCTAGGCATCCTGCGACCACTTTAACATCCCTAAGCTGCACTCCATGCAGCATTATGCTGAGTGTATTCGAAATTTCGGTACTACTGATAATTACAACACAGAAATGTTTGAGCATTTCCACATTGACTACTGCAAAGGAGGGGTGGAGGGCTACCAATTTCAGGGATGAACTACCGCAGATGACTCAGTGGTTGAGTTGTCAGGAAAAGGTCGCAATGTTTGAAACCTACTTGAAGGACTATCATCCGACTGAAGTGGAGAGGGAGCAGGAGGAACAGGATGCACTAGAGTCTGAAACGCTGTCCAGGAGTAGGGATAGCGATATCCAAGAAGCCAGCATCACCTTCTCAGCCACTCTCCAGCTATCATATCAAAACACAGATGTCCTTCTTTTTGCACCATTTGAGGGTGTATCTTAATCGCTTTCTTCCCAGAGGGGAAGCCATATCACACATTCAGCTCCCTCACGCACTGCTTACCCTTCCATCAACTGGATGTCTGGCACACCTTTAAATTTTCATTGGACACTCTTGGTAACGATGTAGATGGCCAGGAGGAGATAGATTCAGTCAGGGCTAAGCCAGGGAAAGGCAGAGCTGAGGACGTGGGAGATGGGAGATTTGATGTTGTAGTTGTTGCGCAGTCAGATGAAGCTGAGTCCACTGGACTTCATGGTGCGCTACCTAATGCTACTAGTACTTCCTATCAAGTTAAGCTTTACTGACCAATACATTTGTAGGTATGAAAGTTGGAAGGCTAAAAGTCATTTTTCGCCTGCCAGACTCTATTCCGATCATGGATGATGCTATAGTTGCCTGGCCTAAGGAACATTTGGCTTATGTGGAATGGCTCACACTCTCTAAACAGCCAGGACGACATCATAATATGTATTCAGTCACTAAGGCTATTGGCCAGAACAACAACATTGTTCCAGGTGACATAGTTTCTCTTTCTACTATACGTCAATCTTGTCATCTTATTCCTCACTTGGGTCCTAACATTAGTTGGCCTTCCAGCTGGAAGTCTGCTAATGTTTTGGACTTATGCAACAGTTTTCTTCTTAACAATTGGTCAAGTAAATTTGCTTATCAGATGCTTTGGTAGTCAATACTTAGTATATATGATTTGTGTGATTTATAGCAAGAGTCTAACTCTATATCACTCAAGTTGTTAATATAGCAGTACATATATTTAAATATAGCCCATAGTGTCTCTATTTGAATAAACAGCCAAAAATGGCAAAAACCCTTTTTCCTGATGAAGGAAAAATATCCTTTACATCTGACCTCTGGTCTGATCAGAAGCTCCGCCCCTTCATGGCACTCACCACTCACTGGATTGCCAAGGAAGAGCAGACATCAGTGCTTGTCTTGAAGGCAGCCTTGATTGCATTTCACCATGTTCCAGGAAGTCATAGCAGCAAATCTCTCAGTTCGGTAATACTGCATCTCCTCAATCATGCTGATGTTGCAAAGGATGTGAGCGTTCAGCTGTACCGTATGATGTGCTCTGACTTCGTTTAGCCTGGACACTTCACGTTGGACAACAGCATCAAACAATCAAACATGCATGAAGGAGCTCTCAAACTTACTCGAAGAACGCAAGATTGAATATAATGCAATCGAAAACAGAATCCCTTGTTTTCCGCACGTGATCAACATATGTGATCAACATATTGTTGACGACTACTGACAGCGGATTTCTCATCCGTGGAGAAGACCTGGAATGTTTGTGGTCAAATCATCGACAAGAATGAGTATGTTGGCAGCCATCACCGGTAAAGCTCTCGAACGGGCCAGACATCTTGTGCACTCCATCTGTGCATCAAACCAACGACATTCGAATTTTAGGGATACCATCGTGATAGGTAATGAAAACCATTGGTTCCGAGGAGACACAGGCAAGCCTATAAGGCTCCCTGAAGTCGAACTCCTGCTCGATGAGCCAACCCGCTGGGATTCGGTATATGTTATGCTCAATCGTCTACGCAATCTATGTCAGGTGAGGTCTCATCTCACTGAACATTTGTGGTGGGCTAACCATTGCCCAGGCGGTTGATATGTTCTTTGAGTCTCCCGATCAACGCTCTATATACGACAAAAAGTTGAGTATGATAGAATGGCATTTCCTACAGGACTTCGAAAGTAATTCTGGAGGTCAGTATCAACATCTTTGTAACCTATGTCGCATTTAACCTTGTAATTTCAGCCCCCCCACAGAGCTCAGCAATCCATGTCGAGTGAGAGCACTCCCATGTTGGGTTGTGCAGTTCCAGCTGTTTGAAAGGTTACTTGAGGATTGGAAGCAGGTGGCCAATAGCGTCCCGCACTGTGCACCACTCATCAACATTGGTTTGACTTGGGTGGAGAAGTATGACGACAGGATGTCCTGCACAAATGCATATGCCGTTGTGATGTGTAAGTCCCTCGCACTTTTTATAAAATTTGATGTCTTATGATCGGTTTATAGTTGTTGACCCCACATGCCTGAATGTCATGGGCTACGGATCATTGGGATGAGAACCGGATAAAGTCAGCAAAGGAATTCATTCTCAAACTAGTACATCTATCTAGCTAGCAACAGCATGTGCTCATATGTCCTGTAGATGCATGTCAAGAGAGCACAACTGGACCTCCAATATACCTGGCTCCAACCCAACGACCCTCAAGACTACAATCATGCATGCTAGGCTCCCATATCTATGGACTTCGTGAGGAGGATGCACTGCCGGTTTGCTGACTGATATCGTCCAGACAGTCGATCAGGAGTTTGGGGCTTATAGCACAGCTAATATCAGCCCCAAGGGAACAAATATACTCTCCTTCTGGCAGGTGAGAGTCAGTCTCCATCAAGTGACATATTTTGTTGTTGACCATGAGGTTTTGACCAGATGTCTGAGGGGATGTTCCCAACAGTTTACGCCGTTGCTATGGACTACCTCCCAATCCAGGCATCTGCTGTTCCCTGTGAGTGAGTGTTCTCATGAGGCTCTCGTTCATATCATGGTCTTGTCTTAGGCTCACTTTCTGACTGGTGTTCACAGAGTTCCGCCCCCCAACAATGTACTACACGACGATTCCACTCGTCTCTGAGAGACCTAACAACAGGCGCTGGGATGCCTCAAAATTGCGCGAACTCCAGAAGAGGTTAGATTCTGGTACAATGACTGTGGAGGAAACTGATCAAGTTGCTGGTGACTTTTTGGATGGCAAGATTGTCGACTTGGCCTCGGACTGGCTGGGCAACACAGTGGGTATCCCCACACCGAGTCAGGTTCCCGTGGCTCGTTTCACGCCCCACCTGTCACATTTGTGCACACACAAATTGGCATCTTTAACCGTTGTCAGGATTGTCAACCAGAAGATCAAGTTTGAAGCATCCTGTCAAATCATCCAGGCATTGTTCTCGTCTCCCGGGGACCATGTTCTTACTGACGTGTTGGGCAACCAAGTGAACGGTGTGGCGGTTGTGCACAAGATCTTGACTAGCCTGTTCATCGACCCTATTGACAAGCCAACTTATATCAAAGCCACTAAGCGGGTTTTAATCGAGCTCCCATCTATCGCTCTCACCAATCTCAACAATCTCAAGGAACGTTTTACCAGGGCAATACAACATGCATCACGGATGAATGGATCTGATAGTACTCAGCTGACCAGCGTTCGGTAAGTGACACATTTATCGTTTTGATTGAGGCTTATTGAAATGTCGTTTCACACAGTGATGAAGCAAGACAGCAATATGTATTCAGCCCGGAGACGAAGGTGAAACAACAAGGAAGGATCTCTACTTGGTATGTCTGCTCTTGACATTGTGCTACCCCCGGCTCAAACGAAGCTTCCTCAACACCCCTTTCACCCATTTCTTCACCTGCCCTTCACCCACTGCTCCCTCGACTCCCTCGACATTTCTTCTCACCCCCGTTTGCAATGATCTTTGGCTTTGCAAAGCTGCATTCCTTATCTCTGCTTGCTCCGCCTGGATCATGCGAGCGTGATCCAAGCTACAGTACAACTAAATTGGGTAAGTTTTCCAAACATCGGATCAAAACATTGACTTACATCGTTTTGGGGGCCCATATCAAAGGATGATTGTCAATATTGGATACTATCATACGAGTTTAGATTCTAGCGTGTGTTGTAGACAGACGTTAGCGCTGCCTAATTCGGAACCCAGGCCTTGGGCCTTGGGCTTTTGCTATTATTATCACTTAATGTATTTACTATTTATAAATCAATACAAATATATCATATATCTATTCTAATTTTAAATGTGGCTGGAGCTGGCTTGAAGACCTATGAAATGGCTCAAATGACCGGACCGAGCCATGTATTACATAAGCTTAATTTGGTACACAGCTAGCCTAATTATAGCTCCACTCTCGGCTAAAGCCGGCCACAAGCCAGAGCTGCGGAAGCACTACTACCAAGTGGCACCCCGACTAGGACCCCGAAACCCAAACTCAACAATGCACCCGACAGAGCGCCCAACGGCAGAAACGCCCCAGGCACTTTCGATCTAATCATCTCCCATCAAATCTACATTAGCTATATTCATTTACCATAATGTCTGAAGAACTCCCGGAAAACTCCCAAAACACAAAAACAACTAGACCCAAATGTCATGCTGCTACTTTCACACCGTCCAGGAGATCAATACCAGAACTCATTAATGACCCGGCCAGCTTTTCATCAATAATAGACGAACGAACAGCAAGAGCCGAACTTGAATCAAGACTATTCATCACTCGAGCAGCCGAAGCAACTCTGGACACCCTAACTACAGCCCTACTCGACTTCTCAGTCCAAGCTCCATCTCTTACTCCAATGCACATTGACATAATAAGGGCTATTGCAATCCTGCTGTTCAAAGCTGACCATGAACAGAAAGCATGAACCATTTCCAATGCTGTCTGTACACAACTCAAAGAACTGATCAATAAGCTAAGCGAGTTAATGGACATTAGTACCAATGAAGCAAATGGCAATCAGGCTCTAAACGAAATGATAAAGAAAGCAGAATCAACAGTAAACAAAATAACCAACAGCATGAAAACGATCAAAGAGGCAGTATATCAGCTCACACCATCCATCAAATTGATCCAAGACAACCTCACCGACGCCAGTAACATCAACTCCCAACTGGAGAAGCTGCAACAAGAAGTAACGACCCTAATCAAGGAAACGACCCAGAAATCCAGCTACAGGACAGCCTTACTATCTGGACCAGATAATGACGCTCACAATCAAACCAACCAACTTGCAGCAAGAGATGCAATTAAGGCCCATCAAATCCTCATTAACGTTGCCCTCAATGGTCCAATAGCTCCAACCAAAGTCTCACATGCTCAACTAGTTGAGAAGATCAAAGTGGCCCTCTCAACCATCGTCTCCACCGACATGCCAGAATTGAATATTTGCTCAGTCAATCAATACTGCAATGGCAGAATGATTCTGGAAATGATGAGCGCAGAAGCTGCAGAATACCTTATGAAAAGCGATATTAAGGAAAGATTCATTAAGAGCCGAGACCCGAAAGCCGTAGTCAAAGACAGAGGATATCCGGTGATCATCCAGTTCGTCCTGCTAACATTCGATCCTGACAGTGAAAGTCAAATCAGCGACCTCGAGAAGGAAAATGACTGGGAGCAAGGAACCATCACATCGGCTAGATGGATCAAACCACCCAACAAACGCACCAACCACCAACAGGTCACTCACCTACTGATGGTACTCAAAAACCCGAATGACACAAATGAGGGGATATGCAATGGAATCACGCTAAATCAAAACCACCTACAAATGAAGAAGAATAGAAGAGAACCAATTCGATGCGCCAAATGCCAGCACTATGGCCACATAGCTCGAGAATGCACCTCACACCACGACACCTGCGCCAACCGCTCCGAAGAGCACAGGACCAGCGATTGCAACAACAGGAACAGATGATGCTGTGTCACATGCGAAACGGAAGGACACACTAGCTGGAAACAAAACTGCCCTGAATTCAAACGTAGATGCGCAGACCTTGACAAAAGATACCCGGAGAACACCATGCCCTACTTCCTGACAAACGAATCCTGGACCCAAGCTACTGCCCCCGCC